AAATGAAAAAGACGAAGAAGAAGAAGAAGAAGAAGAAAAAAAAGAAGAAAGAGGAAAGAAGAAGAAAAAGAAGGAAGAAGAAGAAGAAAGAAGAAAGATAAAGAAAAAGAAGGAAGAAGAAAGAAGGAGGAAAGAACCTTGAAGAAAGATGAAGAAGAAAAAGATGAAAAGTAGTAAACGAAGAAGGAGAAGAATGAAGAAAATAAAGACAAAGAAGAAGAAGAAGAAGAAGAAGAAGAAGAAGAAGAATCTACTATTGTCTAATGACGAATCATCTTTTTTTCTTTTTCTTCTCTTAGCTCTTGTCCAATAAGACTTATATACGCCATTATTAATTGACCTCCAAAAGTGTTGCTATGTCTTTTAATAAACCATTAATATCTTCTACAGTTTGGTTTGGAAATGTTGTATTATCAAAACTGGTTTGGGTTGATTATTTCATTTTCACATTATCATTAATCTGCATAACACCATTTTGAAAATAAATCTAAACTACAATTGTAAATTTAACTGAAATATTTTCAAAAGTTTACATCTGAAATCAAGAAATTCCTACGAATACGAACATTTCATTGGCAGTAAATAATGGACAATCTCATGACATGTGAAGAAGAGACTTGAAGCAGCAGAAATATAATTCTACAGAAGGATGCTGAGAATGCTATGGACCGAAAATATGGACAAGACATAGTTTTCGAGAAAAGTGAAACAGACAGGACATTTATTCTTAACAACAGGAAAAAAAAAACAGCTGAAATTTCTCGGAAAAATAATGAGGAAGGAGGGCTTGGAAAAACTAATACTTACAGGACAGATTGAAGGCAAGAGAGACAAAGGAAAACAATGTATCCTCTACCTGGTGAGTTTGAGTAAATGGATGACGGGACAAGGTTTAGGAGAGGAAACAAAGAAAGAAAATTTATTACGAGCTACAAAGGATAGGAAATTGTGGAGAGCCATGATCACCAACGTTCTGAAGGGACACGGAACAAAGAAAGAAAGAAAGAAAGAAAGAAAGAAAGAAAGAAAGAAAGAAAATGGCCGAAATAGCTGAAAAGGTAAAGATGTAATTTTACACTGACGGCAGAATGATATGGGTTTTAAAGAAAATATTTAATCCTCTGGAAGGATAAAAAAGGAAGACATTAAACAATTCTTTGCTCGAAACAATAAAACGTTCTGTGTGGATTAAATTATCAGGTGGTCTTAATCATAGCTGAAGACAGTGTGACAAACAGTAAATATGGTGTTTAATAAAGTGAATGATGAACAGAAAAATAGGGGAATTTATTTTTCTTAATAAACCGAACGAACTTTTTCCGTTACCTAATATGATTGATTGTCTTATCTGGTATCGCCATTTTTTTTTTCTTCTCATTTACTTTTCTTTAAAGTTTTATTGCTTTTTTATTATTACTAACATGATTTTTTATTCTTCTCTTTTTTGTTTGTTGTTGATGGTTGAATCCCCCTTGTCATTGTTGGCTTCTTAATTAAACTATGAAATTCAAGTTGAAATTATCATGAGGCACACAGAAATTGCAACATGCTGTTTAATCATAATAAAACGAGTAGGAAGACGCTTGCAAAGAAGAAGAAGAAGAAAAGAAGCAAAACAAAAACTGGTTCAATAAAGTCATAAAATCAATCAAAGAATTCAGTAAAGTGAAGCGGATATACCGTGGAAGTGAGAATAAGGTTGAAAAATGGACGGGATTTAAAAAAAAAAAAAAAAAATGAAGAAAAGAGACAGAAAGTAATGGAATAAAAAAAAGGACGGGGAGAGAAAAAAAGGAGAAAAAAGAAAGAGAAAAAATAACGAAAGAAATGAAAGAAAAAACAAAAATAGTAGAAAGAAAAGTTAAATAATGTAAAGTTAATAGAAAAAAGAAAGCAAATATATTGTCAAAGAGACCAAAGAGGCCAAAGAAAGGAAGAAAAAAGAGAAAATGAAATTAGGAAGAAAATAAAGAAAGGAGGGGATACAAAAAATAGAGAAGAGAAGACAGACAGAAAGAAAGAAAGAAAGAAAGAAAGAAAGAAAGAAAGAAAGAAAGAACTAAAGAACGAAAGAAAGAACAAACGAAAGAACGAAAGAAAGGACGAACGAACGAACGAAAAGAAAGAAAAAAAGACAGGAAGGAAGAAAGAAATATGAGAAAATCCGCAATTTAGAGAAAAGGAAAAAGCAAAGAAAAACAGAGAGAAATACAAAGGAATGGATTAAAAAAAGAAAGAAAGAACGAAAGAAAGAAAGAACGAAAGAAAGAGTGAAAGAACGAAATAAAGAACGAAAGAAAAAACGAAATAAATAAAGAAAGAAAGAACAAACGAAAGAACGAAAGAAAGGACGAACGAAAGAAAGAAAGAAAGAAAGGAAGAAAGAAAGAAAGAAAGAAAGAAAGAAAGAAAGACAGGAAAGAAGAAAGAAAGAAATATAAGGAAATCCGTAATGTAGAGAAAAGGCAAAAAAGAAAGAAAGGCAAAGGAAAGGATTAAAGAACGAAAGAAAGAAAGAAAGAAAGAAAGAAAGAAAGGAAGAACGACAGGAAGGAAGAAAGAAAGAAATATAAGGAAATCTGCCATGTAGAGAAAAAGAAAAAGCAAAGAAAAACAGAATGAAATGCAAAGGAAAGGATTAAAGAAAGAAAGAAAGAAAGAAAGAAAGAAAGCATACACCAGGAATAAATGAGTAAATAAATGGAGGAAGAAATACGGAGTCTAAAGAAAGAAGGAAAAAAAGAAAAAGTAAGAAAATAAAGAATAGTAGACTAAAACAATACTAAAGTAAGAAGTAAGAGAATGTATGAGAAGAAAATTAAAAAAAAAAACAGAAAAGAGAAAGGACAAATGAAAAAGAACAAGAAATTCAAAAAGAAGAGAAGAAAATCGGAAAGAGAAGAGGAAGAAGAAATTATGAGTTTACAGAAAGAAAGAAAAGAAAAAATAGAAAGGGAAAATAATAAGAAAATCAATAAATATAATAGGAGAGTGACTGTAAGAGTTTAAAAAAAATAGAAGGAATACAAAAGTATAAAAAATGGAAAAGAAAGAAAGGAGTAAAAATAATCAAATAGAAAGAAATAAAAAAACCAGAGGAAAAGAGAAAAGAACGAGAAGAAAAAGGAAAGCATCATAAGAAAGAAAGGACAATAAAAAGGAGTGATAAAACAAAAGTAATGAAGGCCGAAAGACTTAAAATAAAAACAAAAACGAAAAACAGAATAGAAAGAAAGAAAGAACGACAGAAATAAACGAAGAAAAGACATGGAAGAAAAGAATAGAAAAAATCATTTAAATGAAAAAGATCGCTAAAAAAGGTTATACATAGGAAAGAATTAAAAACCAAGGAAAACGAAGGAAGAAAATGAAGAAGAAAAGTATTTAAAAATATGAAAGAAAGAAAGAAAAGAAAGAAAAGAAAGAAAAGAAAAGAAAAATCTTACAAAAGAAAACTGTAAACAAAAGAAAAAAGAAAGAGTCCTTCAGAAAGGAAAAAAATGAAACCTCTTTAATCAAGAAAGAGGAAATAAGTATAATTCAGCTAAAGAGAAAGAGAGAAATGAAATGAAGCGAAGCAAAAAGGAAAGACAGAAGAAACAAGACAAAGAAGTTAGGAAAGAGAGTGTTTAACATATACAGTGTAACCCGGATATAAGAGAGTTGTCGGGACCAGAGAAGAAGTCTCTTATATTCGGGTTTCTCTTATATCCAGGTTTGGTCTATTATATATACATTAACACAGGCTCTAATTTGGGACCAGAGAAAATCTCTCTTATATCCGGGTTTCTCTTATATCCGGGTCTCTTATATCCGGGTTACACTGTATATATATATATATATATATATATAAAGTGAGCATTGAAGTTAACACACAGAGGCGACAGACTGTTTCATGCTAAATGCAATCGTCAGGCCGAAACAGTTTGTCGCCTCTTAGTGATGACTTCAATGTTCACTTTCATATTTATATTTTACATACGCTCTATCTCTGATATTGAGTACTTTATCCCATGAATATAGCACACCTTAAGAGTATATTTCTTCATATATATATATATAATTATTATTATTAGGTTGGTGCAAAAATAATGACGTAATAATGTCGTTTTTGACGTTAAAAAATACGTCAAAAAACGACATTATTACGTCATTATTTTTGCACCAACCTAATATTATTATTATAATATATAGGAAGCTATGAGTAAAACAAAAGATAAAACTCTTGGAAGGAAAGAAAGAAACGCCAGAGAAATGTCATTAAAATACAAAGAAAGAAAGAAAGAAAGAAAGAAAGAAAGAAGGGCAAGATGAGAAAAGTAGATGTTAAAAACAAAAACTGTAACGAAACGAAAGAAAGAAGTAGGAGTACCAAGAGAAAATGTTACGAAAGAAAAAAAGATAAACAAAAATGAAAGGTAGAACATTGACAGAAAAGAAAAAAAAAACCTTTTAAATCAATAAAGAAAGTAAAAGATGGGATAAGTATAATTTAACGAAAATGTAAAAAATGAAAAGAAATGAAACAGAACGAAACGAAATGACGAGTCGGAACCAAGACAAAAAAAAAAAAAAAAGAAATTTCTTCGCAAAAAATAAAAATAAGAACATAGATTCCAAGATAGAAGCAAAGAAAGAAAAGCCTGAAATTCAAATAAAAAGAAAAATGGCGAAAGAAAAAAAAAAAGAAAGGAAAGACAAGGGAAAGCAAATGAAAATAGGAAGTAAAAAAATTGTAGCGAAAAGAAATCATCCAAATCTTTAAAACAAAAGATTTTAATTGGCCATCGTGCAAATAGATAAACAGACAGTCAGTTCGACGGGCAAATAGACGAGCAATCTTGTGGCCGGTCAGTCGACTCCATTATTCAAGCAGTAATTAAAAAAATAGAAAAGAAAAGACAAAAAAAAAAAAGAGATTTCAAATAATGCACAAAAGACGGCGAACCCTTTTAATGATGACCACAAAAAAGAAATTTGAAACAACGACCCAATGCGTTATGTTCCCTTGTAAGCACGCTTGTCATGATCAACGCCTCTGTCACTTGAGCAACGGCCAATGGACGTGCCTGACCTCTAAGTGAACCGTTGCTAAATGTAAAAGGTCGTTAAATTCGCCCGGCTGTTAAATATTTCACTTCTCCCCCCATTTTTTTTTTTTGTTTCTGCAGTGTTATTTGTTTCGCCAAGCTCTCGCGACATGTTTGAAGATATCAGTGTATAAGTTTTGAAGAGGGAGATGTTGATACGCTTTTTGGGCGTTATCTTGATCTAGCTAAAATTTGCTAATATGATGATACGCGACATTAGTATCAGAAACCTTTTGCTGAATGTCTAGGTGTTCATTTTTATAAACGATGTAATGAAAGAAATATAGTAAGGCATAGAGAGAGAGGTGGGAAAAGAGAGAGAGAAAAGAACCGTTTGACAAAGAGAGAAAGAGAGAGAGAAAAAGAGAATAACAGATAATATTCAAGTTAATGGACATATCGATGATATAGAAAAAAACAGATAGCTTATCTGTTCTTTTTCATTCAAGTCAATTGTACTTTGTCTACTTAATTTCTATTCTTTAATCTCAGGTCTAGATGCCCCTTCCCATTTGCCGTCAGTCTTTGTTGTCTTTCTGTTTTCTTTTCAGCCCCAACAATAACATTTTCTTTCATTCGATTAGGAGTAGATAATATTTTTGGTAATAATCTTGACTTTATTGATTTTCTTTTCGCTTTCACGAACTTGCACAATTTATTACGTCATTGTTATTTTTTTCTTTTATATTTCTTTTTGTCTATCTTTTTTTTTCTCTTTCCCTACTTCTCTCTGCTTCTTCTTTTCTTTCGTTTTATTTTCCTTCCTTATTTATTCTTCCGTTTTTCTTTTCAGTTTTTCTTTTCTCACTTTCTCGTTCTCTTGAGATTTGTCATTCAGTTTTTTTGTTTCAATTTTTTTTTTTTGTTTTTCATTTCCTTATTTTTTTGCTAATTTTTCTTTTCAGTCCTTTCAGTCGGATTCTTTTTTTCTTTCTTTCTTTCTTTCTTTCTTTTCTCATTTATTTCCTTCTTTCTTTTTAACCTCCGTTATTTCCTACTTTCTTTCTGTTCTCAGTTTTTCTTTCTTTAAATCATTCTTCTTTCTTTCTTACACGGTTTCTTGGCTTTTCATCCATACTTTCTTTCTTTTTATGACTTCCTTTTACGTCTTTTTACATTTTATTTGTGTTTTTTGTTTGTTTCTTTAGTTTATTTTCCTTCTTTTTTAGTCTTTATTTCTTTGTATCTTTCCTTTCGCATTTCTTAATTATTTTATTTTCTTCATCCTTTTCTTTCGTTGCTTAATTTTTCTTTTACTTAGTTATTAATTTTTTCCTCACTTTCTTCCTTTCTTTCTTTCTTTCTTTTCTTTCTTTCTTTCTTTCTTTCTTTCTTTCTTTCGTTCCTTCGTTCGTTCTTTCTTTCTTTTCCTTCTTTACATGATTTCTTGAGTTTTTTTCTAGTTTTCCATCCTTCATTATTTTCTTTCTTTTCATCTTTTCATTTCTTTACTTTCTTCTTCCATTTATTTATTCATTTATTCCTGGTGTATGCTTTCTTTCTTTCTTTCTTTCTTTCTTTCTTTTCTTCTGTTTTTCTTTGCTTTTTCTTTTTCTCTACATTGCGGAATTCCTTATATATTCTTTCTTTCTTTCCTTCTTTCTTTCTTTCTTTCTTTTTTCTTTCTTTCTTTCTTTATAACTGTGTTCTTTCCTTTTTGTATTTTCTTTCAAATCCGGGTCTACGGTCAGATCACGCTGAAAATACCAGTTCCCGACCGCTCACAGAACGTAGGCAACGTCGTACCCGGTTAGTCCTTCTACGGGGTACCGCTTGGGAACACCGGTTGCTGAAAGCAACCTCCTACAATCCGAAATAAGTTTCGGCTTTAAATAACCCACCGTAAAAATCAATCATCTTTTTTGTCTATTTTCTTTCTTTCTTTTTTTCTTCTGCTTTTTTCCGAATTATTTCTTCTCGTTATGCTTTATCACTCTATTTATTTCCCCCTTTTCTTTTGTTTTTTTCTTCTTTCTTTTTTAAGTGTTTTCCCTTTTGTTCTTACTTCCTGTTTCTCATTTCTCTTTTTCGTCTTTCTTTACGTCGTTTTCCTTGTTTTCCTTAATTCCTTTCTGTTGTGTTCACCTTTTTCCCATTATCTCTCACTTACTTTTTATTTTTATTTTCATTTTTCCATTTTATTTTTATGTTATCATTATATCGTATTTAATTTTAGTATATTTAATTGGAATAACCAAAACGGAGGTTTGAAATGAAATGGTAATTTTTATAACTTCAACAAAATACAATACTCGCTAGCGGCGTGAAGTAGGTAAACCACTGCTAGTGATGGACTACTTAGTGTCGTATATATTTACGAGGATTGGGACATAACCATTAGTGTTTATAGGTACGGTATATAACAATTTTCTATCTATCTATCTATCTATCTATCTATCTATCTATCTATCTAATTTTCCTCATTATTGTTGTAACCTAGGAATGGTTACTATATGAAGAATAACCAAAACGGAGGTTGAAAGTGAAATGGTTATTTTTATAACATCAACAAAATAAAATACTCGCCAGCGGTGTGAAGTAGGTAAACCACTTCTTGTGGTGGACTATTTAGACACCATAATACCCCCACTTACAATAGTGTCCATCGTATTTAAGAGGATTGTGACATACCTATTAGTGTTCATAGGTACGGTATATAATATTATAATAATCGACAGCAAATAATTGATTTATGAATAATGAATAATGAGTATCAATATGAGTAGATAGGTTCGGCTATCGTCCAGTTCACACTCCTCCCCAGTCTTTTAAACAGGGGTAGAGGTTTATTGCATCACGAGGCTCCTTTTCTCATAGACGTTGCCCAACGGACGCTACTATACTGTGCAGTTGACAAAATCAAAAACGAACAACGCGTATATATATATATATATATATATATATATATATATATAGTTATTTGTAGTTATTCTTTAATATATTTTATTATATATATATATATATATATATATATGTTTATATATATATTTGTTTAATATATTTTATTATACATATATTTGTTTATATATATATATATATATATATATATATATATATTTTATATATGCTTCTCTCCCTCTCTCTCGCTAGATTAGTTACAATTGTGTTGTGAGTTCGATCTTCACTCAGTGCTTCACACATTTGGCTTTGTGCCGCATCTAAGATACTTTTAGAAAATAATTTTTGACCATTTCGACGTAGTGTCATTGGTTAGCAAGTTTGCATCTCTCGATCAATTACGATTGAATAGTGAGTTTGATACTCACTGGGTGCGCTTTACTTGTGCCGCATCTAAGCTACACATAGAAAATCACCATTTACCCTCGGTAAGGTATGAATCGATCTCTTCTCGTGTATCCTGTAGCCTTAGGTGGCAACTCTGAATTCAAAAACTCCAGCTTTGCGTTACCCAACCCGCAAATGTACCAGCCTGATGCGTACGGCTACACCCTTGAAGACATGGTCTGGGAAGAATAAAAAGAATCTTGACTGAACACCTTTGTACGTAGCACAACGTTACGGTTAAAAATCACCTTGAATAATTGTCACAATAAATGGCAGAAAACATTTTAGCATTAATTAAAATAAAAAAAAACAACAGCAACATTTTAAGAGTGTTAAAAGCATCGACAATGGAATAAGGAAAAGTACAAACTAAGGTGTTATCTTACTTTGAAATTTGAGCGTGAGTGTTTTGTGCAGGTGTTTTTTGGTTAGTTTTTTAATCGGGATCACCTGATGCTAGGCACTAAAGCCACTAAGACACAAGGGGTTACAGGGTGTGGAAGAATTAGCAACAGAAACATTAATAATGAGCGGGAAGAGAAGACAGTAATCAGGAGGAGAGTAGATAGCGATTGACATTGCATTTAAATTTTTGCAGATTAAAGTTTACACAGCGAGGCAACCTTACGGCGGTGAGAAAGTGGCTGAACCCCAGCCGGCAGATCAGGGACCAGTTAAGAGTAAATAAAAAAACAAAAAAACAAAAAAAAACAGGAAAAGTTTAACGAATAAAAATAAACTTTATGCAGTAATGCCTTGAGATACGAGCGTACCGACACACGAGCACACCAAACGTTTTCCAATACATCATCTCAGAAATATAGACAGATCGGGTCTCCTGTATTCCCATTTTCTA